GGCCCTGGGAACAGTCTCTCAGACTGGATCTCTGCCCTCAAGGAGTTCCCAGTGACAGGCAGAGAAAGAAACAGCAGCCTGCAGGATATTGAGAGGTGGGTCGACCTCGCTGTCTGCCATTTTTAGTACCAGTGGCTCTTGGCATGCGTTATGTCATTTGTGCTGTTCAAACCCAAGTCATGGCTGACCTTCTGTGAAGCTTCAGTTTGCACTTCAGTTGTGTTGTTGTTGTTGTTGTTGTTGTTGTGTTGCAGTGCTGGGGACTGAACCCAGGGCCTACTGAAACCTAGGCAAGTACTCTACCACTGAGCTACATCCACATACCTTTTTATTTTACTTTGAGACAGACGGGGCCTTGTTAAATTGCCCGGGCTGACCTCAAACTTGAGATCCTCTTGCCTTGGCCTCCTGTTTAGCTGATATTATAGGCAGGTGCTACCCGCCCAGCTAGTTTTCAGTCCAGGCAATGCACTTTGTGTAAAACGTTTCAAGCAGTCTCTGCATGTGGTTGCATGGTATGTATGTGTGAGCACACCTCTGTGTGTGTGTGCTGGGACTGGAACTCAGGCCTCACACACACCAAGCAGATACTCTGTCACTGAGCTAGGTCCAAGCCCGAGATAGGCAATTATATATCTGCAAGGTAAGGCCGTGTGAGAGCTCTTTTTCTCACCAACAACTCCGCGGGTCTGCAGTAAGCACTGGCTCTCTGTAGAACCCTTCCTAGAACAGGTTGCTCGGCCTGATAGAGGAGGAAGTCAAGGACGGGGGTCAGGCGCCACCTAGTGGCCAGAGGCGAGCCTGTCAGTTTCCAACCAGGAGGGGGAGGATTTGCTCTTCGCTGGTGTTTCCCTACAGTTAGAGCCCATTAACGGGCAAACCTGCATTTGTGTTCAGCCGGCCAGGAAGTGCGCAGAAGTAATATGGTGTTAGGAGACATGGACAGCCGGGGTCACGGGAAACCCCAGGCAAGGTCATGCACTGCCCTCCTGAGATGGCCAGGGTGCCTCGGCCTTGCAAGGACAGTAACGAAGGTCCTGAGCGAGTCCTGCCCTCCTGCAGTTGGCCATCAGGAGAGACAGTGTGGCCAAGGAGGCACCACCTCTCTTTTCTTCAGCAGGAGCCTGCAAAGAGCCCTGCAGGTTTTGGTGCTCACTTCCCATGCCGACCAGTTTGAGCCCCAGGGCCGATGACCTCGTCTCTGATCCTTGCCAGACTTAGCTGGTTTGGGGGGTTTATTATTAGTTATCAATAATAAATATTTATTATCAGTTGTCAGTCTGAAGCCGTCTCAAAACCTCACCCATGCTAACAGGACATTGACGATAGTAAGCAAACATCTTTCTATGAAATCCGCTCTTTAAATGTCACAGAAAGATTCTTGGCAGCAGAAGCGCTTGAGTTAAACCCTAAGAGATGACAAAGAGTTAATCAACTGTCTCAGCTGCCTGCTTCACTGCTGGGACACAATATCCAACACCCACAATTTAAGGAAGAAGAGCTTTATCCTGGCTTTTATTTCAGTCCATAGCAGGCTGGCTCCAAGGCGGAACAGCATGGCAGAGGGGTCTGGTGGAGGAGAGCTGCTCAGGGCATGGCGGACAGGAAGGAGCTGGGGAGGGGACAAAGCCTTCCAGACCACAATGACAGTGACGTGCCTCCTCCCACCAGACCTGACCTCCTAACCACAGGTCGGCTCTAACCCCCACAGTCCAATCCCCTTCCAAGCCCATGAGGCTTTGGGGCCATTTTGATCTAAGCCATAATGCCAGACAAAGAAAGGGAAGGGCCAGAGTCCAGAAAGGGGGAACCACGTGTGCCAAGGCAGAGAGGCGGAAAGGGTGGTGCTGCGTGCAAGGAGACACCTCACCGCTGCCTCAGGGTCTTCCGCAGTCTCTAATGTTTGGAGACTCTGACCTAAAATATACCGCATACTTCAAGTGCAGTCAACATCAAATATAACATCTCTGACTGTGAGAGATGTGAGGCACTGCGACTATTGCCATAATGTTGCAGACAACAGCTAGCGTGGGTCCTTGCTTGTAGAGGTGGAAGTTCAGATGAAGACACTAATTTATAGAAACGATTTGAGCAGCTGGAGGGGCGCACTCTGATTCAGGGGTTGGGGTGGCCCACCTGCAAAGCGAGAGGCCAGCTCTTAAGGGTCAGCTTGGGTGGCGGGTCCTGCTGATTATCAGCTCGATCCTGGTTTCATGGCTCAGGTAGAAACCCCAAAACTTGAGGGGTGATGGCAGTCATGCAAGGCTCTGCTGGACCCCAAGGTGACCACAGGTTTAGGGCACGGGAGATTCTGGGCCTTGCTGAACGTCCCTGTGAATCTCTTATCCTGGTGTCTTCAGTCTTGATGGGAGATGATACGGGCTAGGTAACATTAGGGCCAGCAGAGAGACTCCCTGAATGACGGCCACGCCTGCACACAGCACCCAGAAGGCCTTTACCCTGTTTCACTGTGTAAAGTCGAGCTTTGTTTTACTTTTATCTACTGGGCATTTGTAGGCGCAAGTGAAAAAGTCCACTTTTAGGTCCCTGGCTGCATTAGGAGAAAGCTCAAATCAGGCTTTCAATGAGTAGCAGGTGAAGGGCCCAGGACTGTGCCCACCCCACTCCACCCTGGCCTGTGGTGGTCTCTGATGATGCCATTACTTTTTTGTTGATGTTTATTAACTTTTAAGGATTTTTAGGGATGTGTTTTGAAGGCAGTACCTGCTCTGAGCCAGGATCTACAGAGCCCGGTGAATAAAACAGCACAGCGCTAAGCAGTTCAGGGCTTGTGATGGTGAAATCCAGGGAGAATAAAGAGATGAGGCTGAGGAGGGGCCTGGGCTCTGGGGCACAGAGAGTCTCACACTGCTTGAACCACTTGGATTTTGTCACAGCCAGAAAAGAATTCTGGTTAGAAGAGTTCTCGTCAGCCCCGTAAAACAGCGCCCTCTGTGGACAGTGAAGAAGGCCTCCTGGAGAGGAGCAAGACTGAAGCCAGAGCCGGCTTGGGGGCACACACCTGCAACCCCAGCCCTCTGGCAGGCTAAAGCAGGAGGATCTCAAGTTCAAGCCAGGCCTAGGCAATTTAGCAACCTAATGAGATCCTACATCAAGTTAAAAAGAAAAGGGCAGAGGATATAACTCAATGTGAAAGTCCTATGTTCAATCCCCAGCACTAAAAAAGAAAAGAACAATAAAAGACTGGACACAGGGAGATTCAGCAGAGGGCTAATGCAGACGTGAGGCTTCGGACCGGGGCAAGCGTGAGCCATAGAAAGCTAAGGGGAAAGCAAGCTGAGACAACATCCTTTCATGGAGGGAACTCCACGATGGAGGTCAAGAGATCCAGATTCCAATCCCAATCTCAGTTTCCCCACCTGCTACAGAAAGGCGTCCTCTCTACTGAGTACTACTTCTTGGTATTATTATCACAACTGTGTGGAGAATTGCACTGTATATCAAGAAGGAGAGCTATGAATCAGCCCTTAGCAAAATTGGGGAAGAGCCAATGCTGCCCTTCAGCTTTGTCCTGAGAATCCCCTGTGAGAACATCAAGCACTGAGATCATGCTGTCATCCACCCTTACCAGGTACACAGGACAAGGACCTCCTTCTGTGCGGGCCTATAGCAAGTGGTCTCAGGGGTGGATGAACAATGTCAAGGACATTATGTGCTAGCCTTGGGCGTTCCCCCACCTAATAAAAATGACTCACATTTGTAGTGACGTGCTGACACAGGTCTTAGCATCTGATGTGCATTTTCTCGTTCAGTTATTTGCTACAACACTATAAGGTGGGTATTGTTATATTGCCTTTTTTTTTTTTTTTTTTTGGTCTTTTTGAGACAGGGTCTTGCTATGCAGTTCAGGTTGGCCTTGAGCTCACTTTGTAGCCCAAGCTGGTCTCTCACTCACAAAGATCCTCCTGCCTCAGCCTCTCGAGGGCTGGGATTACGGGCATGTATCACCACGCCCAGTTTATACTGTAATTTTATAGTTGTGCAAACTGAGATCCAGAGAGATCAGGGAAGTCTACAGAATTAGTAAGGACAGAAGTGGCATTCAAACTCAGGCATTCTGTTCACAATTCTGTCACACCACCTTTCACACCAGAAAGCTCCCATTGCTAGGGTTCCTCTGCATGCTATGACTGACTGTTTAACAATGATATAGGTCAGGCTACAGTGGAGCTTGGTGGGGGAGCGCCTGCCTAGCAGTGTGAGCCCCAGGCTCCATCCCCATTGTTGCAACCAGCTTTCCCCGTTGCTGGGGGTGATATCCTACTATCTGACACCCACAATTTAGAGGAAGAGGAGTCTTCACTGGCTCACATTTCAGGGACCCACTGGCTCCAAGCAGAAACATCATGGGCGGCAGGGGAGGAGCAAAGCTGTTCAGTCCATGGCAGCCAGAAGCAGAGCAGGGGACAGCACCAGAGAGGAAGGGGTGAGGGACAGACCTAGTCCCCAAGGCCACGCCCCCATGACCCACCCAGACGGACCCAGGAGAATGCTCTACTAATCTGCTAGATGTCTCTTAATCTCAGGGAGTTGACATATCAAGATTAACAGTACTACCCTAGTACTGCAAGATAGAGAGATAGAGAGAGAGAGAGAGACTGGTTACCACCGCCTCCTGAGGATGTCACCAATACTCAGCATAGGACTTACAGACAAGCAGACTGTGATTATAGTAAGGGCTAAGCTAGGTGCAAAGGGTAAGTTCAGAGCCAGAGACCTAAAAACTGTTTCTTCCCATTGCTTTGTGTGCTGGTTTGCCAACAAACAGCCAGTCAGTCACACATATCAGCAAATGCACTTGAGAAGCCACGAGGTCTTACAACAAAATATAGGGGCAGAACTTTGCAACCTTCCAAGTTTGTTTGTGTGGTTTTTTAAAGTAGTGCTTTATTGAACTAAAGAAAATCCACTTCGTTTTTTGTTTCTTACTGTTTTAAAAGCTGCCCTGCCTTACTCAATCCCGTCCGGCTTGCTTGCAGGTTCCGTCTGTCTGGGTCAGAGGCCAACCGCAGCGACATTAAGGTAGGAAAGGGGTTCTCTGGTTCCCTGGGGCGGGACAGATGGAAATTCTCCTCTACAGTTCTGGATGGATTGCTCTCTGCATCTCTGAGCCCTGGATTTCTCCATGACTATAGGTTTTATTGTAGTTTGAGGGTTTTTCAAGGGGAACAATACCATACAGGACTAACACAAGATTATTTTATGGTAGTCACCCAAAGAGTCATATACAAAAAGAGTGCAGGAAATCTGTCCACCACTACAAACCAAGGAATCCAGCTGAGGGCCTGAATCCCACGGTAATGTCCTGCCTGAGTCCAGCTGAAGCCATAGAGCCGATAACAATTCCTCCCCGCCCCCCCCTCCGTGAGTCCAAGTAGGGGCCAACAGCCCATGACAATGCCTCATGCAGGCCTGTTTCATAGATCTGCCCTGGGAAGGTCCAAAAGTCAGCGGTGAAAGCTAGAAAGTCTGTGCCAGTAGGGTGAAGGATCTGTGCCAGCAGGCTGAGGGATCTGCACTAGAGCCAGGAAGCGATGCTCAAAGTAAGAACCAGAGCTCTCCAAAAATTACCACAGCCATCCTCAGCGATAGTGAGGTCCCGATCTCCTCCGATGATGAGGACAGCCGAGCTCCTGTCAGGAAAGCCAGTGCAATAAGCTTTTCCAGGACGTTGAACAGTGCACCATCTCCCCTTCAGAGCCAGAAAGCGATGCTCAAAGCAAGGACCAGAGCTCCTCCAAAATGAACTGTAGCCATCGCCAGTGACACAAAGGTCTGGGGCTCCTTCCTTGATGAGAACAGCGAGTTCATTAGGAAAGCCAGCACGACAAGGTCCTCCAAGAAAACCAACAGCACCCCCAGGAAAACCAACAGCTACAATAGCTCCCCACAGCTTCTAAACTTCCTCTCCAATTCTGCTTCTTACGCTGCCGGCAATGATCCCCAGGTGGGCCTCCCACACCCAGCACCTCGCTGGTTCAGTTCAGCTGGGTGTTACAAGTTGACCACCAGTTGTCAATCCACCACAGGTTTTAAATTCAAAAATTTTATCTGCTCATCTATCGACCCCATTAATTTACCAGTGTACTTTTACAAAGAACGTCAAAGCCTGTTAAGACATCGTGTGATGCTAGGAAAAGAGGCATTCCCAAGTCGGCTTCGTTCTCTGTGTAAGATCATCCTCAAGGGTTAAATTTGAGGTGCAGGCCCCCAAAGGAAGAGTCTGAATGTAAACCAGCAGGCCATGGTCAGGTCCGTGCTTCCAACGCTGTCTGTCCATCTCCTGGAATTAGGTCAGGGAGGGCTGTGTGGACACCTCTGTGGCAGGGGAGCCTCGCCTGATGACCTCTTCTTTGGGAGCAGACACCTCATTGGGCAACTCAGAAGTCTCCTGCCTCGAGCTTCAGGATCAGCCACATCACTACTTGGCTGGCTGTAGCATGGAGAAGTTTCGTGCCGGGCCTTGGTGTCACAATGCCTATGCAACAGTGCCTCGGGCATGCTCAGCCCAGTAAATGCTGATTCACGCTGCCACTCATTCACTGGCAAGAACTTTCCCAGCCTGGTGCTGTTGTGCCCCAAACGGAGACAGAGCTTCCTGCCACGTACAGTCCAGGCAGTGGCTCTCAACGAGGGCCCAGTGAGCCCGACATCTGGCAACATCTGGAGACATTTTAGTTGTCATGACCTGGGGCAAGAAGAGGGTGCCTCACAGGCCAGGGATGCTGCACAAGACAGCCCCCCATCATGGAGAATGGTCTGTGCCAAAATGTCACCAGCGCCACGGTGTGCAAACCTGTTCTAGGGTGTACTCAAGTGTGCCCGGGTCGGGGGGCAAACAGCAAGCAAACACATATATGTTGTGTGTGCTGAACTACTCCATAGAGAAAAATAGATCAGAAGAACCTCAGGATGGTTCGTTAGCCGTGGGGCTCACGTGGCACGTTGGCTGCCTGGCCTGCAGTCAGTAAACGATGGCCACTGTTGTTCTGTGCATAATAATTGTTTCTGTCATCATCACCTCTCTATAAAGGGATGGTATCTCGTAATATTTCATACATAAACTCTGAGGCCAAACAGAAGTCCCATTTGCTGACTATGACTCTGGTAAGTCTCTCAGCCTCTCCCGAGGTAGTGCACAGAGACGGTAGGTACGGGAAGACAGGGAGAAGGTAGGAGTAGATGGAGGGAATGTAGCCCGGAGGTCAGAGAACTTGGCCAGAAGGCCAAACCAGACATCTGTCTGCTCATCCGATTTTAGAGGGGCACCTGGACTGTCAGTTTGGGATGACTGGCCGCCAGGAGCAATAGGGCCCATAGCTGGGAAATATTCACATGTCCCAGCCAGACACTGAGGCCTAAGACCCTGGCATTGTCCTGGGCACTGCTGGTGAGCACCCCAGGAGCAGCAGTTCTGTGGGCGACGCAGTCGAGGAGAAGGTGTGGCTGACTTTCTCACTGGTCCTAGTTCCCAAGAGACAAGGCTGAAGGAGCCCACGGCTTCCAGGAAGACCTCAGTGAAGTGCTCAGCGTCAAACACAGAATGCGCTGACCATCGCATACTGGGGGGAAGTGGCGATGGCAGATGGCGGGCATTTTGCATAATATTAACTTGTTTAACCCTGACCACCACCCTATGACGTGATGAGGATGATGAAGATTCACAAGAATCTTACTACTGTTTTCTTCACTTCATAGTTGAGGAAGTGGGGACCCAGAGAGGTTAAGTAACTTTCCCAACACCGCATAGCAAGTGGTTAAAAGCAAGTGGTTAAGAAGCAAACCCGGGAATTCTAGCTTCAAAGTCTTACTTGCTGAGCTGCAGAGGTTCTTGGTGCTGAACTCCGAGAAGGATCTGAAAGTGTCACTGGATGCACTGATGTTCACCGTCGTCCATTTATCTTTAGTTCCTGGACCTTCGCTTAGGCTCTCCAACTCTTGCAGTTGACTAGGGATAAACTGAGCGTCCTGAGGTGTGGGTGACCTCAGAGCCTCACACAGCACAAAGGCTCTCCTGTGGGTGAGGCTCCTAGTACTCAAAGGCAGGGCTGCCAGTTGACTTGCCAGGTATCAAAGCTGCTGCATTCCCTGCCACCCCAGGGTCCCTGTGTACTGGCCATCACCGGGACCCAGCACAGAGGGAAGCAGATGTCCATCCTAACTGGAGACATTGCCAGGAAACCCCGTAGTGTGGTTTCCCACAAAGCTAGCATATCCCTGGGGATAGCTGCGGTTTTTGCTCCCTGGGTGAGGTCAGGAAAGGACATGTCAAACCATGCATGGTATTTTCTTTCTTTTTTTTTTGGTACCGAGAATCAAACTCAGGACCTTGCACTTGCCAGGCAGGCACTTGTACCACTGAGCTGTATCCCCGGCCCATGCGTGGTATTTTCAAAGTGCTTTGATTGGGCAGCTGAAGTAGTTTTTTCCTTCATTGCAGGTCTTGAGGTTCGAGAATATCCTGTCCTCCATTCTGCACTTCGGAGTCCTCCCCCTGGCCAACAGTAAGGGACTCTTGGGAGATGATGTCACGGATGTCGGTTGAGCGGTGGGGATTATTTGGGACTCTCCACTCCAAAGCCTGTCCTGCCGCAGTGTTGTTAAGAATCCAGGCCAGAGCCAGAATTTACAGTAAATACTGTCAACAGTAGGGCTGCAACTTGGTTACCCCAGGCCTGCGTCTTGTAAGCAACTGTACTTATTTAAACTCAGCATCAACTCTGGCTGAATTAAGTAGTACAGAATAATAAAGCATCCTTCAGGCCAGCAGGACATGAGATGATTCTGCCTGGGAAGGCTTGTGGTTCCCGCGCAAGGATGACAATTCCAGGCCTCTCCCACTCTGCAGTGATGTACAAACCACAGCCTCTGGAGTTTGGCTCAGTTAACAAAAACAAACGAACTACATTTCAGTGCTGGGACTCAAACCCAGGGGTGCTGTACCACTAAGCTACACACAAGTCCTTTTCAGTTTTTGAGACGGAGTCTCGCTAGTTGCCCAGGCAGGACTGAACTTGCAGTCCTCCTGCTTCAGTCTCCTTTGGTGCTGGGATTAGAGATATGCAGCACTGCACCTGGCTGAAATGTTTTCTATATTAAATTCGGAAATGCTCTCAGGACACACTCATTCGGTATTTTCAAAATATAGATTGGGTAAGTCGAAAAAGAACAGCATTGTTCTGGAGCATTAATGCACACAATTGCAGGCAGATTTCTACTGAACACAGATGGATCAACAATTCTTCCAGGAAAATATTAGGGACATGTCAGAGAGAATCAAAACAGAATGAGGAAGAAGATAAAAGATAGGGGCTGGGGATTTAGCTCAGCGACACAGCGTCTGCCTGGCAAACTCAAGGTTGTGAGTTTGATTCCCAGTACCGGAGAAAAACCAAAACCAAAAAAAAAAAAAAAAAAACCAATGAAGATAAAAGATAAACTGCTAAAAAAAGATGCCTGTTTTTCTCTTGGTAAAAAGTCTGCCAGTAGTGCCCAGTTATCTTATGACTTTTTCTGCATTTTAGCAAAATTGCAGCAAGGATTTCCCCTGCCCAGGCCATATAATGTCTCATTGGTCAACTCAGACATTGAAGTTCTTGAGGTAAAATTTTGAATCTCTTAACTGACCCATTTCTTCTCATAGTAGATTAAGCCTCCTCCTGTTTTGCTCGTTTTTCTGTTATTTTGTTCTGCTTTGCTTTTTCCCAGCCCAAGGAACTTTACAAACCAAATGTTTAGCTCTTAAAGCTTGCAATTAACAAGGAAAAGTTTAAAAATCAGACCAAATCCAATTTTACTTAGCAAAGTTTATTCACTCTGCAGTACAGGAAGATATGCTCCAGCATACTTTATTACTCCACAAAACAAGCTGTCAGGCTGGGATTATTAATCCCATTTCCAGATGAGGGCAGTGAGAGGCAGAGAGGTGAAGGGACCCGGGTAGTTTCCAGACGGACAGGTGCGCTCTTCCAGTTCTCCCAGTCAATGGACTCACCTTTGGGCTTAGGAATCTATTGAGAGCTGTTTGCTAGCTAATCATTATTAACTAACTAACAATACCTTCTAATTCCCCTTCTTTTTGGCACTTTTTTTGGTTTTTAAGTTTCTGAAGGAATCTCTGGTCCTATAAACTACCCTGCACCCCTCTATCTCCCAGCTCCCCCCCAACCCCCGCTTAAGTCACACTGGCTACACCAATCCTCTGAGCCATTCACAGGGAGGTCAGAAGTTGGGGGAGACTTGACACCTTGGGGCTGGGAAAAGAAGCCATCCCTCCCTTACCCCTTAGGACTTGCTCCAAATTTGATGCATACTGTTGTGTCTTTTTCAGGGGTTCATTTTGATTTCCACCAACCTGAAATATGAAATGTCCTCGAAACAGCAGCCAAGTTTCCATGGCTGGGGAGATCTGAACCGGATAAGGAGACAGGGGACCAGGCAGCCAGCCCCTTGATGCCAATTCACATCCTCCCCAGGAAGTACCTGGCCCTAATCCCACAGCGCCTGTCCATGGGGAGGGGAGGACAGCAACAGTGGGACTGGAAAGCCCTTCTGCATCGCACAGACAGAAAATTTGCTCTCTGGAGCCTCCAGGAACCTGGAGCGAGGCCACCTGGGCTAAAGGCTGAACAGGGGTCTGTGTGCTGTGTACGGAGGGATACGCCTTGCAGTGTGAGTGTGTAGAAGCTGTGTGCCTGTGTTTATAAGATTCTGGGGACAAGAGTCTGGCATGTGATTCTGACCAGGTGGGTGAAAACTCTTAAGTCTGTATTTATATCAGCTCCCTTCTTTAGAGTTTTTTCTCTACCTGCGTGCTGGATTTTACATTTTATGTTCACTGTCACTGTCCCCTATGTCTGATTAAAATCATTTTCTACCAATGTCAGACTGGTATTTTGAGAAAGGTCCTGCTCTGAAATTTTTTAGTTAGAGAAAAGGCAAGTGAGTTTATTTTAACATTCACAAAAGCTCAGGTTGTAAAACAAACAAACAAATCTGAGGTTGTACAGAGATCAACATGTGATTTTAAAAGGGAATTCCTGAACTCTCATCTCTCCTGTGGTCACCTTGTATCATCTGCTCGAGTTTAGGGTGACCCCCATCCCAGCCCCCAAGATTCCATGAAGCGGCGGTGGAGAGTAGTCAGCCGGGCCAATTCAGAGCTAAGGCTGATGCTCATGCTGTTACAGCAGCAAGCAGTGGGGTGAAACCGAGGCCGAGGAGCGGGTAGGGGAGCTCTGCGGATAATGTAAGAGACCAACAGCAGCCTGAACTCCCCCTGCAGCCTCACAGACCAGAACGGGCCCGAAGACAGAGGCTCAGAGCGCTGACCAAGGGGCGAGCCGGGTTGCAGAGCACTGAGGGGCATCCGTGCGTTCATTCTCGCACCACTCCAGGAAAAATTACCATCCTTTGCGCAAGCGAAGAAGCAGAGGCGAGGGGAGTTCGTCGCAATCGGCTAGTAAATGGCACACGGAGAGATGGAACCCGTGTCTTCCCGATCCTGAAGCCGCTGTCCCTTAGGAGACAGGGCTGGACTCCGCTCGCCTGCACGAGGAGTGAGCGGCTTGCGTGTGTGACACGTGACCCTGGAGGCCCCCCGAAAAGGCTGGGCTGGGAGGACAGGGCGCTCCACCCGACTGCGAGCCCATCCTCATCACGTTTACAAATGTTCATGAGTCCGTGCTGGCCGGACACAGTGACGACACTCGTGGTGGGGACTTGGCTCGTGTCCGAGAACCACCTTTCACGGCCATGTCTGACCTTAGCGGGAGCCCGGAGTGTCGGTTGGAATAAACGCTCGAATTCCTGGTTTGTCTTCTGGGGTGCTCTTTTCCAGCGCGCTGTGCAAGCGCAGATTCATTCTGCATCGGTGAAAGTCAATCTGCCCCAGATTCGAGGTGTCCTCGCGAGCGGCTCCAATGCACTTTCTCAAGCAAAGATACCTAGGTCACGCTAAAAAACGCCCAGACTTAGCTTAGCTTTGCACTTGGCTGCAGCCTACTCGACACCAGCTCATGAAGGTCCAAGAAAGCCAACGTTAGAGGGTAGTCGAACAAAAGGAAAGCGATCGGTGCGAGGAAGTTCGAGCCTCGGCGCTCGCCGTCCCCTCCCTGCGCCTGCGCCTGCGCCTGCGCCTGCGCAGTGGCTCTGGAGGGTGCTCTGCGACTGCGGCCGCGCGGCAGCTTTTCTCCACAGCGGGCCGGGCGCTCTGTAGTGTTCGCCGCCATGAGTCGCAGCTACAACGATGAGCTGCAGTTCCTGGAGAAGCTCAGCAAGAACTGCTGGAGGATCAAGAAGGGCTTCGTGCCTAACATGCAGGTGCGGCGGAGCGGCGGGGCCTTCGCGGCCCGGGGCGGCCGTGCGTGGCTGCCCGGTGTCCTCCGGGCGCCGTCCGGGCCCCGGT